ACTTATAACTCATTTTCTGTTCAATGTAAAACTTCTTGCTGTCCTAGTTGATTGCAGTTTTAACCCAAAGTATCCTCACGCAAACTCTATTTTAAAAGTTTGTTTTTCCTCAACCAGGAGTTTACCATCATAAATGGCTTCTTGACACAATGTACTGCTAGATGCAGCATTTACCTGATGTTTGCCTGCCACCCACCTTACCCCCAGTTCTGGCTGTAGCTACACTTCCATGCACTGTTTAAGTGAGGATAAGAATAATAGGGTTGCAGGGTGTAGAAATGCAATTTGATCTTTTCCATAGGGAAATTTGACTTCAGTGGACCACACACAACTGGTGCTGTTGGCCTGCGACTAACTTACTGCCTCTCCATGTTTTGCAGCCCACATTCCTGGACTACTTAAAACCACGCTCATGGTCATGTCATATGAAGATGTAAAAATGGTGTGCTCTGGCCACGTCATCACAGAATATCAGAGTTGTCCTCCAAGTGTTTGGACCAATGACCTAACTTACTACAGTTTTTTCTAAGGGAAGTTGTGCCTCCTGATTATTGGGGAGAAACTGTAATTTTTTTAACCATTACTGAGGCAAACCAGTTGACCTGGTTTGCAACAGGCTTTAGGCAGTATCTAGTACGTGCCGTCTCATTTTGAGCCATTTCATGCCAGTAAAACATTGAGCTGAAAGGTGTCTACTGGAATCCTACTCATCCAGGGGTGCCCCCCTGTTGCTGCTCTTCTGGACAACAGATAGGCTAGTCAGATTTGCTAACAGCTCATTGTTGGCATCCGTCCACCTACATTAGCCATCCCTTTGCAAATTTTTTTTTTCCTTTTTGTAACAGGATGTCCACAAAACTTGTATTCTTCATCATCCTGTCTGCTGCTATGATGTGAACAAGTGGCAGAGCAACAGTATATTTGCCTCCTTGCTCTGAAGATAGCCAAAGTATTCCTGGATGGCTTTGAACTGCGTTCAGTGTATGTTAGCTGCCTACAGATTTAAAATGGGCAAAGGAAGGGGGAATTGTAGTTTACTTGTGGCTGCATTGGAGAACCATGTTCAGAAGCAGGGCATAGTGTGTGAAGTCTTTTATTGACCTTTTATGCTGAAAATTTCTGTTTTCTCTGTATTCATTTAGTTCCCAACTGACTTAATAGCATTTTTGTTTTCTGAAGGCCCTTGCAACTTGGGGAATAGTTTTTCTTCTAGTTCTTCCTTTCTCTTGCTTCAGATAATCAATTCTTTTAATACAATTAACTTGTAAAAGAGCTATTGCTTTAATTTGGCAGATGTACAAGTTGTTAAGGTTTTCTTTAGTAAGATATTTGAAATACTACAACCCAACTGTAAGAAGATGCAATCAACTTTACAGGTACATAGTGCATTTTCATGTGAAATGGCTACGTCCAGTCTAGTATGCCAGCACGCCTTAGTGCCTTTTGCCAGTTTATGTTGTAGCAGCTTCTGATGCTGCCAGTGGGAGATGAGGGTTGATGCTATGGCTGGGATCAGAGCTGCTTTTTCATCTGTCTGTGTCTGTTCCTGTGCCAGTGGAGGCTTCAGGTGAAGATCAGTTTTCCAGCTATTGCCACCCTCTGTCTGAAGATGGAGAACATCCTCCCATACAAACACGTAAAAGCAGAAGCATTATATGAATTTGGTGTTTCAATTTCTATGAATTAGGCAGAGTCCCTTCAGTTTCCTTGTTCTGACAGATGCTAAACACAAAAGGGAACTAGAATCTGGGTGCATAGTATCTCTCCAGTTTTGCTGGAACTGCAGCTCCCCTCATTGGAGAGAGATGGTAACCTGATGGAAGTACCTTAACTTTGATCACGGGGATTTTTGAGTTACTCAAATGTTCTTTATTGGCACTTTTTGTTAATGGCTTTTCTTCACTGACCTACAGCCTTGGTATTTGATACCAGCAGTATTGGGAATGTTTATATCCTGATCCACTTAAGACTGTCTTTTGGGTTTCTGTTTTTAATAACCTGAGCCAAAAGTAATTTCATGAAAGCTAGGTAACACTCTTCCAGGCTTTTAGTCTTCTCTAAGAAGGAATCCCACTCACACATGGTGAGAACATTGTGTCAGGTCAAATTTGCCAAATGCAGTGTTTGTGTATGTGGCTCTCCTCTGAAAATATCCTGCTAGAACTTGTTTGTTGAAACAGTTGGGTTAATTTCAGAGGAAGGGGTTCATGTGCATACTCAAACTTGGCAGTATTACTACGTAAAATCCTGAGAATTAAATTGGTTACTTAATCCTGAATCTTTCACTGTGACTTTAGTGGGAGAAGGAACAGAAGTGCTGGAGCACCTAAGGTTTCTATTTGAAAAAAAAAACCACAAACAAAAAACAACAAACAGAACAAACTGCACCACCCTTTGGCCAAACAGCTTTGTAACCTCCTTAATGCAGAATTAAATTTAGTTCTGTACGTTTTAGTTGTGGTGCTCAAAACCCTCACGTGCAAGATGTAACTGCACTCAGTTTGGGTGTGAGGGATTAGGGACTTACTTGCCTCTCAATGCCTGTGTCAGGTCTGGCTGCTGTCTTGGTGTTCTCAGAAGGAGATCAGATGATGGCACTTTGTGCCAGGTTCTGGTGTTTCCCTTGCAGTTGGGACTGTCGTATTCCTAATAAAGGATATCAGCATTTACTGTGTCGGCGTTCTTGCTCTTTGAAGCCTGAGGGCTTGAGCGTCTGGCAAGCAAAAAGCAACTAGAAAGGAATGCTCAGCTGTTGGAACTAGCCTTAGTTTTTGACAGGTTGAGATTTTTAGCCTTGTAGATCAAGGCATCTGGGAACCATGCTGTCACGACATTAACAATCGGGATTAATTTCAGTTTCATGGGTGGTTGTTTTTGTTGGTTTTGGGGGGATTTTTTTAATTGCTTTTGAATGTGGGTTCATCATTTTTCTCAAGAGTACTGAAGAGGAAGTGCTAAGTCTTTTGCACATTGCTTGTTTAATTAGTCAATTATACCATGTTTGTTTGAGTTTTCTTTGAATGCCAGAGGTAGCAGTATGGTGTTCTGGTCAATAATGAGGATGCTGGGGTTCAGAACCCGCCCTTTCCAGGTTCTTAATAATACATACATTTTTCTGTGGCTCTTTCCAACGCAACAACTGTGCAGCTTGCTTCCATGGTAACTTCTCGGCTTCGAGGTGGGAAGCCTCCAGCTTTGGAATGGCAGCCAGTGCAGCTACAGCTCCTTGTTCAATAACATCCCAAAAATCAAATGGTGAAATGTACCTGGGTTTTAAAACAGTTTGATCTCAGGAGAACCGAACCTCTGCAGAATCCTTGTGTGTATTATGTCGTTTCTGTTGGGGGGTTTAGCTTCCACCCTTCTGAAGTGAAGCAGTCCTGCATGTGAGCTGTGAAGTGTATGCTATTATGTGACAGCCGTCCAAGTAAGGCATGTGCCACAACACATGGGAGTGGGGGGAATCCCTGATGTATTTTGTTACTACAAAATGGCATGGATTTCATGGATCAGTCCACTGCTAAAGGAAAACTGAACTGTCGGAGCTTCAGTTGAGCATAGCTGGGCTGGAAGGTCAGCAGTCCAGCGTGAGCGAGCCCACACTGGCAGTGGGGTTATCAACAGGCTCCCCACTGTACCTCTGAGCCAGCCAAGGTCAGCCTCATCTCTTCTCCCTGGGCTTGCAGCCATTGCTGCCCTTCCCCTGAGGTGACCGGGGGGAGGCAGCCACCATGTGCTGCTGTGTGCCCGGCACCGGTGGTTCCATGTATGTAACCTGTATACCAAGTTCTGTCATGCAGAAGAGCTGTTTATAATCTACTGTATTACAGCAATTGAAATATATTTTGCTATTAGGGGAGGGGAAAAAAATTGTCTTGGCCTGTTTCTTCTCTGAACTCAACTCTGTGGGGTTGGGAGGGGGTTGCAAGAGAGCAATGGGGGGGGGGGGGAGTGTGGAAAAAGAGGGATGGGGTTGCTCTTCTGGGACTGTGGCTGCTCTGGGGAGATGTGGGTCAGAGGCTTGTGGGGGAGGGAGGGAGGGAAGGCCAGGTGGAGAGAGAGCATGTTCCAGAGCCGGCTGGAGCACCCTGTGTGTCCATGGTGATGGAGTCAGGGACAAGCTGCCTGGGGGCTGAGGGCTGGCCGGTACAGGCGGGGGCCCCTCTGCTGCTCTGGGGAGGGGGGAGCTGGCCTGCCTCAGGGGTCTGGGGGCTGCAAGGGCAAGGAGGGAGAGGTGTGAGACAGCTGTGCTGTGGCACACCCGGTGCTGGGTGAGGGGGCTGGAGCGCCGGGCGGCTTTGGCTGGGTTTGCAAGAAGAAATTCACACAAGTCCTTCTTCAGGTCCTAAAGCAACAGGAACTGTCAGAGCTAAACAGCGGGGAAGGGGAGCTGGGGGTTTGTAAGCTGCGTATTGGCCACCGAGGCTCTGTGAGAGGAAAGGATGTCCTTGGAAGTGCTGGAGAGGAGCACGGGGAAGGAGTTAACAGCTTCTGGAGTTCCTAACCTCTCCCAGTTAAATTGGTGCAACTGCCAAATGTGTATCGCGTTAGTGATTTCTGCCTTATTTTGGGCCTGAAAAGGGTTTGTGTGCCAAGAACTGAATGTGATATTTTCCAGCTGCGTACCACATGTGCTAAAGTCAAGTCTTGTCTGTGTCCTTAAACTGTAGCGCTGCAGAACAGTGCCATTAATCTTCTTATCCTTTCTGGTGGGAATAATACATGCTGCCAAACAGAGCTGTTGGGGGGGGGGGGTGTGTTGGTGCAAATAAAGGTTTTGTTCTGTCAGAAGTTTCTAGCATTTTTTTGTATTTTCTTTCCAAGAACCCATTTATGCAACAAAACAAGAAGCTACCTGGCAAGATTACACCTACACCCACAAACATGTATCTGAAGGCAAAGCAATGTAGTTACCCTAATTAAAACCACAATATGCCAAGACATAGCTGATAAGGAGGTCAAAGAGTTTTAATGCCAAGAGCGTTTATAAAGAACAAGGCCAGTGATGGGGGAGGGGAGGCTTCAGAAGAGAATTTATGGAGGTTATGAAACTAACAGAAATATTATTTTTATTAGTAATATACTGCTAAGAAGAAAAAGTGGTAAGGTTAATAACTGGAGACAAATATAATTAAATCTCTAGCCCACTTACATGTATAAAAGAAGCAGTTGTTCTTAATTTAGTTTGTAGATGGAAAAGCAAGCACCCCTATGGAGGGTGTAGCAAAGCAGTGGGGGCTTCTGAACTGACATACCTGGTGTCAGGTGTAGGGGGAGGTCACAATGAATGATTAAAAAAGCATGTTAGCCCTGTGAAGTACAAATGTGGGTTTAATTCTGTTCCTAGATCATTCGCTCCCGCAACTTTCCTTGGCTGGGCATTAAAACAAAATAAACATTCATCATGCCCACAACTGGAGTGCCTGTTCCTGGGCAAAAAGCTGATGCAAGGAAACTGAGCCGTGCCTCGTGGGCAGGCGAGGACCTCAGGTAGAGCAGGGCTGGAGGCTGCAGGGGTTGAACTCTCCATCCTTGCAGTTTCCCTTCAATACTAGGACTCTTCTCTGCATTTTTGTTTTAATTTAGACATAGAATTGCTGGTATTTTAGAGTAGAAAGCTGAGTGCTAGCGAGCCACAAGTAAGGAAGTGGCTTTACAGAAACATGCAAACTTTAGTTCACAGCGTCCCTTGGTGTCTGTGTACCTGGCAGCATGGCACAGTCATGGGATGTAAAAGGTAGCTTGTTCTAGGCTTCATGAAAGACATTAACAGCTGCTAAAAATGTGATAAGCTGCCTGTGCTTTAGATGCTGGTTTGGTGTAAGGGAGCAGACATCTTGTCATGGGTTTTCTCAGCCCTGTATTTTATCATCAGTTTTACTTTCTCTTTCACCGGCAGAATAAATGCTGTTGAAATGTCTCTCTGCTATTTTCCGGAGATGCGCAAGTTGAGGGGTACCCCAAAGATGCTTGACCACATCAAGCCTCTTTCTTCTTCCCTGGAGCATTGTTTTGTTCCAGAAGTTTTCCAAAGCCTGACCTGTGCCAGCAGTTCTCTGTACAGCCCAAAGTACTTCCAGTCCCCACAAACTACCAAACCCCCGATGGGCTTCAGGGTGAGTGTGCTTCCATCTCCTGCCTTTTCCTGTCCAGAATTGTCTCTTCGCTGGGTGCACATGTTCATTCCCTGGGCAAAAGTTGGAAAGTCTGCCAACCTTGTAGGATAAATCTATCTTATACTGCATCACTTCACTGACCATGCCATTTGATGCAGATTTAACAAACATGCCTGCACCCTTGTGCTCCTGTGAAGCCCTTGTTGAGGCATTTTTGTCCACACCAGTTCCTTTGGCCCCGGGACAGAAATAATGATGCAGCATTTGTTTAGACCAGTCAGCCACCCTGACCTGTCCCACTCCTTGGTACATTTCTCATGAAATAGTGACATCCACATGTGGCTTGTCTGCAGGGCTGCCTGCAAACACCAGATTGGCTTTGGCATTATCCTAATCGTCAGAGCAAGTTCAGACATCTGACAGACCACCCTGTCAGTTTGACAGGCGCTGGAGGGTAAGTCAAGAAGAGAGAAAGAGCCCAGGCCAATGGAAGGAAGTTACAGGTGGGAATGCAGAGCTAGGTCTCCCCTTGGCCTTTTCTGATGATAGGTGGCTGTGGTGCCTAATGGGGCTGGATGAATGACCAGCTGTCCTGTCTGAGTTTGGGCTAGAGAGATTTGAGGGAAAGATGTGAGAATAATAAATGAGAGTTGCTAACTGAGCAGTTCTTGGAACCCTCCTTCTGAAGGATGCCAGGGTCGCAAGGATGCTCTGTGATCCACGGTTAAGAAAAGAGGCTCTTCTGGCTTCAGTGGACTTAGCAGGGATTAGCTTTACACTTCTTTGTAAATAAATGACACTTAATGGTGGTGGGAAGTGAAAAATGTTTTGCTCCTTGTTGAACATTGAATATGTATGCAATAGGGTATTGACAGTACATATGAGAAATGGTCTTTGGCCAGCAACAGGCAATGTGAGGTTAATCTGCCTAAAAACCATGATCTCATCTGTCTTTTTGGCCTAGGGAGGAGCCCTGACCATAAGGCTGGCCCCAGGCCCAGCAAACAAACCTGCTTGTGGTTGAGGCTGGCAGTAAGGGAAGAGCAGGTTGCCTGCAGCATGGGTCAGTGAACAAGCTCCTCCCCTCTGTTTCAGGGATGTCTCTTACCTGTGTGACACTGTGACTGGCCAACAAGCTAAGAAAGCAGTGCAAGTCAGAAGGTCTTTTTGTGAGGGTCATCAGGACCGGAGAGGGAGCCGTGGTACAGTCCCACTCACTCCTGTGAGTGCTATTTTTCTGTGTGTCAAGCTGGAAGGGAGATCCTCACACGTGTCCCAGTGTTACCCTGATCCTAAAACACATCGGCTCCCCTTGTGGCTCCAGCCCCCCAGCTCCCCCACTGCAGTTTGGTGTTAATTGTTTCAATCTGCTTTCAGATGTAGATTGTATCTGTTGGGCTCTGGATGTGTAGGGCAGGAAAGGGAAAAGCAGCATGAAAAGCCACTGTGTGAACTTCCCTTTCCTGGCAGCCAAACCTGTGTGTTCTTTGGGAAGGAACCAGGAGTTTGTGCACGTCTTTCAGGTTGATGTTTTGTGCTCTGTCTCTTTTCCATCCCCAGAGAGCAAGCCTAACAGGTAGTCTGATCCCTGAAGAATTTCAAATTGTGAGGAACAGAGGAGTTTCGCCCTTGAAATACTTTGATGAGTGAGTGATTTCTGGTTTACAAGGGTTTGTCCTCAGCTGTTCAGTGTGTGGGGATACAGTGATGAGAAGCTGAGGACACTGACCGGATACACCTCTTGCTGTTGGGAAGGGGAGAATATAAAAGCGGTGGTTGTGCAAATCTCATGCTAACAACCAGGCTGTAGTTAACACTGCAGAGCACAGTGACCCTCGCTGCTGCTCTGGGGTGGCTAACAGAGAACTTCCTGGATGCTAGTACTGCTTTTCAAGGGGCTTCAGTAGTTAGACATGAATGTAGGAGCTGAAGTCTGGTTTGATCCCTTGAGGTAGGCTCTAGGTAGCTCTAACTCTCACTTTATGCATCTATACACCTACATCTTGAATCTGCTAGGGGTGGGGGTTGGGGATTTTTTGGTTTGTGATCTGGAGTTTTCTTCCTTCCCTCCCTTTTCCCCACCCCCAGTTTTTCAGGCTGTCAGTTTTCTAAGCCTTACCAGAAGGGGCTGCTGGGACTTCTCTTGATCTCTCCAAACAACTTCATAAATTTGAAGGAGGCTCTTTCTCATTGTTCAGGAATTAAAATACTAAGACTACGAGTGAAATCCTCACAGCTTCTTTGCCAACAAAATGCAACAGAGCATTTTGTTTCTATTTTGATGATCTCCTCCGATCAGCCTCTGGTTGGGTGTGATGTGGAAACCTGGTGCTTTTCTGGCACCACTAGTAACTTTGTTTAAAAATGGTTTACACTGATCCCTCAGTCAAGTAACATGAGAGTAGAACCATAAAAGGAGAAGGTTCCCACAGGATTTCTGTCTTTAGGGGCAAGAAGAAGGAGCTCCCAGTTTGTGGGTAACTGCAGGGAGTCCAATTCTCTCATTAGACTCTGGATGCTCCCACTGAAGGGCAACCTTGTAGACCCTTCTCTGCCTCTCCACCCTTCATCAGTTTGTATATGGGGCAAAGAGATTGAAGGAGAGAGCACGGTTCCCTTAGTTAGTACAGAAAGTATTACTTTCTAATTGAGCTCTGACATTGCGTTTGTTTCTGTAAATATTCAGCACTTCTTGAAGATCGTGAAAAGAAACTACGTCTGTTCCCATCCCTGTAAGTATCACCCTGCATGCAGTTGTTGGGAAAAAAAAACAAACAACTGTTTTAATTCAGTTTCCTGGGAAAAATCATAATATGAGTGAGATATATATATATATATAAAATAATGATGTGTCCCTTTCTGGTCTGTCAGGAGACCTCCTGGGAGGTTAGAGGTCATCCAGCTGATGCATCTGATGGACAGCATGTCAGAAAAAGCTGGGGTAGATAAGCTAATCAGAGTAACAGGATCTTCACAGGTGGATAACTTGCTTTGTACCCAGATAACTGTCTTGTACCCAAAAAAATAACATCTTGTATCCCTAGTGTTTATCACTGTTGTGCTTAAGGTGCCTGCAAGAAGCTAGTTTCTGCCCAAGCCAGAAGTTTCTGTCCTATAGTCCTGTAACAACCAGGGATTTCCTCTCCTGATCTTGAACTTCTCTCCGTCTTTGACCCACGAAGAGCAGTCAGCTTGCTAGTGTAGGAAGTTACACTTCTGGCAAAAATGCCAGGAAGGAGTGCATTTGACATTATTAAATGAAGGAATGAAGGCAGTAGCTGGGAGATAGGCTGCTGTTTTTCAGAATGGGCCATCAGAAACATTCATAGACCTAAAAAGCAGATGTCAAAGAACATCTGTACCTTGCTTTGCCTTACTTTCTGTTATTCCTGCACACTGATGGAGAAGAATTTGTGAAAAATGTAGAGCATTGCCTCAGCAGGAACTCCAGCTAGAATTAGCAAAGAAAGTCCCATGAATGTTGATGGGAGGGTAGTCAGCATTATGCATAACATGTTTGAAAATAAACCTGTGGTTGCATGCAGATGCAATCCTTTCCCCTTTCTACCTTTAGCAGTGTTTTGTCCTCAAAGGGAAACCTACTTCAGAAGAAATGGGAGATCTGTGTTAACCTGTTGTTAAAGGAGCAGGCTGGCCAGGGTCTGCAAGGCTGTGATTTTTCTCACCTGTTTTGCCAGCTGCACAATATGCTGGAGCTGCTGAAGGCGGAGCAGAACATCTACAACATCATTTTCCATGAGCTGATTTGGCAGGTCAGTGTGGACTGCGTGGAGAGGACAGCTGCTATCAAAGCTCAGGTCATCATTATCCAACCATTAATACCCCTCTTGGTTTATGGCAGTGTCTTCTCAGGAGTAGCATTAGCTATTTCAGATTGTTCCTAATGTCCTTCCCCAGCAAAGCTAGCCTGTCACAGTGTAGCTGGCATAGGGTCTCATGCCAGAAGTCAAATAGGATTTCCCCGCCAGGTTAACAGCCGGGGCTAATAAACACCTGTTGGGTAACCTGAAGCTTGAAGTTGGCAGGACCATCACCACATTTACCATGTGGGCACCTTATCAGTGCGACCTTCAGTGGAAGTTTTCACATACCTGATACCTCCCTCATGGCCAGGCTTCCCATGCTCAGGTTACCACTACTTGCAATTAAATTGTTCCAGAGTGTTTAAAATCCCCAGTCCTGACATTCAGAAGATTGCCTTCTAGATAGCTTCCTGTGCAGTGAAAGGAAAGGGTCTTCAGATGGTGTAAGAGATATGCACTCTCATGTAAATACCTTTTTTTACTCATTTTACTGCAGGCAGAGGTATGTGAGCCTCCTGGAGCGGATCCCTGAACAGATGAAGACTCTCTACAAAAGAATGATGTTGCAGCAGTTGGTCAACAGACGTATTACAGAAGAACTACTCTATTTCAAAGAATCTGTTGGACAGCTGTCTAGGTCTGAATCCTGCCCAGTCCTAAGAAATTATCTCTGTGCCCTAGGCTTAGTCCATTGCCTTTGTTCCATTTCCTAATCTTCCTCCCATAGGAACAGAATGACAGTGTTGTGATTTGAAGCAGAGCTACAGGGATTACACTTAAGCCTCCTCACACTCTCACTGAACTCTTAGTGCCAAATAATGTCAAACCACCTTCTCTCCTTAGCACACTGGAGGTTCTGTCGTTGTGGAACTGCAGAAAGGGCTTGTTGGAGCACGAAGTGTGTGTGGGAAGAGATGCCTTTCACCCCAGCAGTGAGATGATTGTGTTGGAAGAAGAGATCCCTGCATGATAGTGTAGGGTTCCTCAGTCTGTATTTGCCAGATTAGAGACCTTTAAATTGTGTTAAGAATATTACCCACTGTTTCAGTGAGCTGAAGGTATGAGAACATTACCGCAAGGTGACTGAAGAAGCAGAAAAAGCTCAAGAGGAGCTACATGCAGCCTGTTAGCAGGAGGCTAACACAAATGTAAAATAAGTTGTGTTTAAAGATGAGGTCAGGAGATTTCTGCAGTGTGCTGGGATCACTCTCAGATTTTTGGGAAGGAGAGGTGGTGACTGGTTTCCTTCCAGGGAAAGAGAGCTTGGCTGTTTATGACAAATGCCATTATTTTGCTATAAATCCTAAACTCAAAGGACTAGAAAGCTCTTCAAAACATTTATAGTTTTAAGTCATTTGTTGCTCAGGTGCTGGCATTCCTTTTTCTTCACCCCACATTCACAGCAAGTGAGCTCTTCATAGTCTAGAAGAGCCTGCAGCTCTGAATTTCTGAGGGGCCTGTGGACATCTTCAGATACCTAAGAAATTAGATATTTAGGTGGTTGGTATCAGAGTTGTGGTGAATGAACAGGCAAACAGATTTACTTACAGGAATCTTGTGTCATGAAGAAAACCGCTAGTCTAGTCCCAGGAGAGATCTGTATTCATACTGATCGGAAACTTGTCATGGGAATGTCAACAGAAACGTGTTGTAGGGGCCTGGGGAGAAGGACCTGTGAACTTACAGTCTGTGCGGGAGGTGACTAAGGAAGGAAGGAGGAAGAGGAAATGCCTAAGGAAAGCTTTCGGATTTTGGAGAAAGAAGTAAATGTGAATGACAAACAGAGGTGCATGTATTTCATTGTCTTTCTCTTCCAGGCTTTTGGAAGAGTATCAGGAGTTAGACACGTTACAGAGAAGACTACTAGAAGAGCAGGCTCTATTGCTAGCTCAAGAGAGAGACACCTGGATCGCAGCCAGGTATGACCTGGCTCAGAAGGTAGCTGCAGGAAATCAGTGGTACACTGCAAGATATAAAACATCACAGCTAGCACTCTTGTTTTCATCCCAAAGAACCTCTTTATTTAATATGATTGGGTAGTAACACATACCTGCCCTGACCTCATTTCCTGCGGTCTGTTCTGCTTCACACGTGGTTTTATTTTAATTGAAACCAGTTGACTTACACAGCCATTTTGGTACAGCTCTCCAAGTTCTGCGCAGGAAAAACTTCTGTGAGATGGGTATTTCCATTTGCAATGTGTTTGACTAAAAGTTTCTTATTTTCCTATAATTTAGAATATTGTACCCAGATTCCTTACAATTCCTCACAAAGTTCTTGGTTGATTCTGTTGTGTGTGTGTCCCCCTTGTTTGTGATCTCCTACTTTATCCCATTCAAGTTAAAAATCTGTTAGCAGAACTTTTGGGACGGAGAGATCAGAGATTTAACTGTAAGGAAAGTGGACTCAAATGCTTCAGCTTCATTTTATCCATGGCAAAGCTCCCATGTTACTGTCAGATGCCTCTCCTCTCAGACGAAAACAGGGCAAATAATAACTTTTCCCCTTCCCCCAGATAATAGACAGAAACCAGCTCACATTGGTTCACCAGCTCCATGTTGGTGGAAAAACATTGACCAGCGTTCTCAAACATTTCATAAACCTCTTGACCTCAAAGGTAGGGACCTGCCTGCGATGGGTGCCTGTTTAAGGCATGTGTATGCATGCTTTATGTAGCTCTACTGTTCTCAATAAAGCACTCGTTATTTTGGCTGTTATTTGAACCTTCGAATCTTGGTCTAGTTTCAAATGAACATTAAAATTTGACTGAGTTCACTCTTTCTGCTTTTCTCTCATTACTCCATGTCCCCTTTTCTCTACTTCAGTTCTTTCCCCCCCTTTTCCCCCTTTTTTCTTACTGTAGCTTTCTTCTCTCTCCCCATTCCTTCTCCATAAAAGCAAACCAGACTGAGGCTAGTGTGATTTTGGCCTCATAGGTATGAGGCGGCATGGTGTCTCAGTAGCATGCAATCAACAAGAAGTCAAGCATTCAGTTCTGGCATGCCCAACGCTGAGCCACCTAGTCCCATCTCAAAGGGTTTGTGAGGGCTGTGCTGTGGAATTACGGATATTCCCCAGATCTCTGATATGTACATCACTCAAAATAGCTAGGGCAAAGGGAGAATTCCTCCAACTCAGATGAAGATAACCATGACAACGCTCCCTTTCCCCACCCTCTTGCGCAATGCCTGCAGGACACAGAAGACCCGACTGATTTGCAGGAAAAGACAGAGCAGTTCAGGGAGAGATAGGGTCATATTGGAGCAGAAATAGAGCGTTCTGAGGAGTCCACCCAGAGAAAACTGTAAACTGTCTGCAGCAGCTTCCACAAGCACCTTCAATACTTCCATAGAAGTGACTCGTGAGTGGCCCAAAGGGACCTGGGGCACCAGTCGACATTCTCAACCTTTGCCCTGGACCAGTGCAAAGTGTGCACTGATTCTCAGGTGTAGTGAGATTTGGTACAATCTGCAATTTACACATCCTTCACTGCTCTACTCTTCTACTTGATGTATTTATTTTGATTATCAGGTGCCTAACAGTAACTCCAAAGCGGTGCTGTGAGTTTGTGGTTGAATTTGGTGGAGCAAGGCTTGTACCCTCCTGCTGCAAACCAGTGTTCTTTCTGCAGCTGTCATTGCTGTAACAGAATTCCTCTATTTATTTAGTTTGGTTCATTTTAACTTGAATTGCACAAACATTATTGCTTCAGTAGAGCATTTAGTTCTCATGTACAGATATGAGACTCTGAGACACATGATGTTTCAAACACAGTCTTTTTCTGTGTTAAGGTGATTGTATTTTTCAGGCTTTTTGTTAGTTCATTGTAATATGTTAGACATAACAAAGCACAAATGCAAGCACAAAATGCAGAAATATGCACAGTGTGTGCATAAACAAAAGTCATCACTTTATAGATTTCAATTACAGAGTTAATAATGTCTGAATTTTCAATATATGCTTGATTTTGATTTTCATCTCTGCTGGAAGTAACATATTTTCTTAACTGACACCCAGTGTTTGTGTTCCTTTGAGTGAGAGAATAAAAATCCCTTGCTGAGTAGGGTCGTGTGGTTTTTACTTTGAGTATCTATCTTGAGTCTTGGTTTTACCTTGGCTACTAAAGGAATTTTTTCTCTCAGTTCTCATTCCTTCTTTCCCTCTGCTTTAGCTCCTCTCAGATGAATGAAAAGCTATTAGATGAAATCCTATCAGAAATCAAGAACTTGATAAATGTAAGATTTTGGGGGGTGGATGTATTATCAAGCGGTATCTGCCCAAAAAATTACCATGTGTGAGCTGAGCCCCAGTGAGCATCTAGGCCCATCACAAGTGTGAATGAAAACATATCAGCTCAAATCTTTTGTGCTGAACCTTAAGCTAAGAGTCTACCCATGAGAAATTATAATTGACCGATGCCATAATTCAGCCAGTGTGTTAAACTTAATCATGTGTTTGAGCGTTCCTGACCAACAGGTCTGGTGACTGGTAAAGCTCTGGTGATCTGTAGAAGTGCTCAGAATTGTCACCAGTAAGTTTCCAATTCATCGTGCAATCTACTCACTGTGACATCTTTATGTTCATGGATTCCTCACGCTTCTTGTGCTTGATTTCCATAACTTTTCTTTCGTGGCCAAGGGGTGGTCCAGCTTTTGGGGGTGCAGCAGGTTTCTCCTTTCCTTTCAGATGCTAAAAGAAGACCTAGAGCAGTACACAGGGGAGGTGCACCTAAGAAAGACTGAAAGTCTGAAGAGCACTGCTGGCCTGCTGGAGTACTGGACAAAGCTGGGACAAACGGTGATAAATCGACACCGGGATTTAACTGAAGCATTGCCTCTACAGAACACTGCCCTGGAATAAATAAAACAAAGGGCATGCGAACTTCACAGGCAATACAATATAAGGATAAATGGAAATAATGGTAAGGAATGGCCAATTTATAGCTCAGTCTTTCCTTGGGTATGCCAAGAAAGTACAAAGTAATAAAGGATCAGTTGACATAATCTGTACTGGCCTTTTCCAGAGCTAAAGTCTGACCCATAGATATATGCTGCGAATAAAGAGCATTCAAGGGACAGACTCCAAGGAACTTCACTCACAGTCACACATAGAAAGAATATCTGAAATTTTAAACGTGATACAGTGCAAAGAACATGCGATGCAGATATGACACAGGAAAGTCATATGTTATATTCAGAGGGATTATGGGCAGTTTGTGATTATATGGATAATTTATGGGGGGGAAAATGCTAAAGGAAAGGATGGATGTTTAAAATGTAAGGCATCACTGTAAAAAGTAAAACATTACTGTAAAGTAAAACACTATCTCAGAGGGTGATACTATTTTTATCACCTTATCACTAATGCTAAGTTATCTTAATCTAGATTTTGAGTTATCCTGATAATAAAGTATGTACATAAATGTTTTCTTTGCTGATATAAAGTTATCATGTCTTGTGTAAGATAACAAACAGTTGTTGAGTAATTTGCAACTAACCTTCTCAACCTTTGCCTCTGTAAGACCTTGACTCAATTCTGATTTTCAGAATTGTTTCACTTCTGATGTTTTCCTAATAATTTTGTTTCCTTTTAGCAGACTAAAACTAAACTGAAAATGTGCTGTCAGGAACTGCTAGTCATATTTGCTAAGCTGCTTCTCATGCTGCCATCTTATTCTCACACTCAGGGTTTTCCTGTGATTTTCCCTACATTCTTCTGCTACATGTTATATTTCAGCCTACTAAATGATCTGAGGTGGAATAAGTCTGTCCATCCTATGAGACAGCTAAAGAAAGTAAATATTCTTATTAGTTCTCATTAGAAAGTGAGAGAAAGAGGAAGGAGCAGGGCCATAATTAGACATTCACCAGAATGACAAAAACTTAACAGCAGATTGTCAGAAGTTAGTTGTGATCTGAACAAACTGCTAGGCAGCACAATGCAGATGTCTGATTCAAAATTGCTTCAGCCAGTAAAGTGCAGAAAAAGGGATTTTATCTGATTTTAACAAAGGCTTTGGAAACTGGACTACAGAAAAGGCATTATCTTGCTCCATACAAGACAGTGTATTTTGAATGGTTTGGATTCATTTTGTGTTGTAATGTAATGGTCTTTCAGTAGAAAATCCACGGTACCCCTTCTTTTTACATTATATTGCATCTTTGATAAGAAACAGTGAAAATGAAAGCCATTGTAAAGAATAGGTAAGATATAATACTGAGATCATGGTAATTTTGTACTGTAAGGCAGTGGCACCTGGTTACCTGAAGTGTTTATTATGTTCTAAGATCTGGTTACCTGGTCTCAATCAGCATGTGCCAGAAGTACAAAGGGCAAATGGTATTTGATGACAAAAATTAGAGATGGAGGGAGAACAACGAGATATGAGATTGGTTAGACAGGAGGTATAAGAAAGAATTTATATGAAATTTATAAGGTTTGGTTTAATATCTTTGCTTTTATTCAGTCTTCCTTCCTCACTTCGTAAGCCTTCACAGTGTACCTTCTTTTGAAAATAACATGGTTTTGACTCTGAAATTGGCACTTGGTACAAGAGTGGCCTCTCCAGTGAGCTCCAGTTTGGTCTTTTCTTTTTCTGTGGACTTGATAAAGCTCATGAGATAAATGCAATGACACGGACAGCCTTCCCAAAGCAAGCTAATATTTAATAAGGATCCAGAGTACTGTGTAAGGGCTAATACAGCCAAACCACACATAAGTGACTGTTCTCCCTCATCATTGTCTCTAAATTGAAGAGACATCAATTTGATAGGTGGACCACTCAGTGGATAAAGAACTGGCTGGATGGCCGCAGGCAAAGAGTTGTGGTCAGTGGTTCAGTGTCCAGCTGGAAACCAGTAATGAGTGGTGTCCCTCAGGGATCGGTGCTGGGACCGGTCTTGTTTAACATCTTCATGGCTGACATGGACAGTGGGATTGAGTGTGCCCTCAGCAAGTTTGCCGATGACACCAAGTTGTGTGGTTTGGTTGATATGCTGGAGGGAAGGAATGCCATCCAGAGGGACCTTGACACGCTTGTGAGGGGGGCTGATGGTTTAACCATGACAAGTGCAAGGTCCTACACCTGGTTTGGAGCAATCCCAGGCACAGCTACAGGTTGGGCAGAGAAGAGATTCAGAGCAGCCCTGCAGAGAAGGACTTGGGGGTGCTGGTTGATGAGAAAATGAACGTGAGCAGGTAGTGTACACTTGCAGCCCAGAAACCAATCGTATCCTGGGCTGCATCAAAAGGAGCGTGACCAGCAGGTCAAAGGAGGTGATCCTGCCCCTCTACTCTGCTCTCATGTGACCTCACTTGCAGTATTGTGTGCAGTTCTGGTGTCCTCAAAGTAAAAAGGACATGGAACTGTTGGAACAAGTCCAGAGAAGGGTCATGAGGATGATCAGGGAACTGGAGCACGTCCCATATGAAGACAGGCTGAGAATGTTGGGTCTGTTCATTCAGCCTGGAGAAGAGAAGGCTGCTTGGAGACCTCATAGGAGCCTTCCAGTATCTGAAGGGGGCCTATAGGGATGCTGGGGAGTGACTGTTCATTAGGGACTGTGGTGACAGGACAAGGGGTAACGGGTTCAAACTTAAACAGGGGAAGTTTAGATTGGATATAAGGAGGAAGTTCTTTACTGTAAGGGTGCTGAGGCACTGGAATGGGTTGTCCAAGGAAGTTGTGAATGCTCCATCCCTGGCAGTGTTCAAGGCCAGATTGGACAGAACCTTGGGTGACATGGTTTAGTGTGAGATGTCCCTGCCCATTAGAGGGGGGTTGGAACTTGATGATCTTAAGGTCCTTTCCAACCCTAATGATTCTATGATCCTATGTACCCCTGGGACCCACCTCTTCTGAACCCTTAAGATGATGCTGCATGGCAGGAAAATTTACACTATCATTCCTGCCACTTCTCCTTGGCCTCCTGCTTGTTAACACCTAATGCCTGCTTGTGGAGCTCTATCATGTGCTCTCAAAGGTTCCACCCTGAGGAGCATAACCACCTCCATTTCTTACTCATTTGAACATCCCAAAACTGCTTCATTGCACTTCTCCCAGTTCAGAGGAGAAGTTAAACAGTTTTACCCCACAGCTGTACCCATGTGTCAAAATCACTGAAATATTAAAACACCTTTCATCACCACCATGTGCTTAACATGCCATCTTTGCTCCAAGATGTTGTGGAGGCCAGGACCTCACCAGGATTTAAGCAAAGTTTAAACATTAGATATCAAGAGGATATCCAATATCCATGATATGAATGGATATCATTGTTGCGTTTCAAACACACTCCCCAACAAAAAGAGAATATCCGTCAGTATGTTCCACGAGTGGGTGAAAATTAATTTACTGCCTTGTACAGGCATTCTGCATATCCGTGCATACTGCATCCCCTGCATCTTTGAAAAATTGGATTGTAACTGCAAAGCTGTTTTAAAAACAGTTATATTAAGCCTTTATGAAACAAGGGAGCCAAATCTGCCAAGACAAGAAGGGCTTTAATTCAAGCCCAGTTTCTTTCAACTTGCTTTGAATTCAGCGCTTACTAAGCAGCTTATTTTTAGTTCCAGGTGTAGCCAGTTCCCACATAGGCTGTTCAGCCCTCTTTGAATCCAGCTTTGGTTTTGTTGGCTGAAAGAATTATAATTAAAGGTTTGTATTTTCTTCCCCTGCAGGCACATCTAAGTTTTTGACAGCCTTGGTGAAAAGTATGGAAGATTGGTTATTCAAGGTGCAAAAGCTGAAGCAAGGTTCTGGCATGCACAAAGCTGAGCTGTGTGCATTTTATCAGAAGATTCCTGCGTGGCTGGGCCAGGTGGATGCAGTGAAGAATTGTGTGGGCTTCAGGCAGTTGCATGAAGCTGAGAGCGATCAGAAATCACACTTTCCGTAAGGACAGAGGTGTTAATTGTACCTAGGCTGACCTTGCATGCAGTGCTACACTCAAAAGAGAGATGTCCTTTTTTGGATGCCAGGATGGAGACCCTGGCACAGGAAACTGTTAGTGGGCCAAACATGATCAGCTGAAGTGTTAAAGTGGTTGGAGACTGCCTTTCATTTGCTTTGATTTGACAGTTATCTGTGGAGTAGAAACAGTTGGTGGCTTTGGTATCACTCCTGGAACATCATTGTCTCCGTCAGCACTGCCACCTGGTTTGGAAATCTTGACATTTGAAATAAAAACAAAATACGTGATTCATCTGCAGTCAGATTTGTGGGGGCATATTCCTCTTCATGGTCCTCCATTGCCTTTGGTAAATACCATCAAGAAGTACATCATTTGCAGAGCACATGCAAAATGTGTATGTAAGAGATTTACTTGAAAATGGCAAGTTTGCCCACAACTATAGCATTAACAAAAAAAAGCGTGTCATGTTTCCAGCTTATGGTGTACTATAATATATTGTTTTCCTCAAGCTGGGAAGCAAAAGGTGTCTTTGAGGCAAGAGATCCTTGGGTCTGGTGCACTAGAGGTCACTTTGTTTCTGGATTTGTTTTTTTTCAGGGTGGTACCTAATGTTTTTTTTCATATGATTCAGCAATGGGTTCTGTCCATGAATAATGAGACTGAGAAGAATGTCACACATGCAAATGAAAAAGTAAGTGCAAGCCTGAAACTGCTGGGATAAGAGTGCTATATCTAGCATTCAGTCCTTCCTTTAATTTCTATCTGGCCAGAGCACAGTTGTAAGGAATGCTTGTTTCTCTTTTGACACTTTCTTACCTTGTTTGAATTGAGTTGTGGCTTTTGTCTTCCAGCCAAAGGAGTAGGGGAGAACTTCTCTAAAAATAGCTGTAAGGTCTCCTATATAGTGCACCAAAACAATTTTATTGTTTCATCTTTAGTGAGTATTTTCTTTGGAATAATCGAAGTTATTTCCTGTTCAGAGAGCTGTTGTGGCTCTGAGCTCTCTGTGGGCTTATTTCTCCCATGACTGTAGACTAGAGGCTCTCAATATGCATTTTTTTAATGTTCTATAAGTGTGGTGTGTAGTTTTTGGTTTGTCACTGAATTCTGGATATGAGAGCATGCTACGTGGCTAATAATCAGCATATGATCCTAAACAAGAACTGGGAGAAGAATAGATCGATAGTAGAAAAAGATGTGTCTATAATGGGAATGAATATGGGAGAATGGTAAAAATAAATGTTTCTGTCATTAGGTCAGTTTGCAAATTAAATTAGCGCATTCATGTATGTGAAATGCAGTGGCTTCAGACTACTTGGCAAAACCAGTCATTTATCACTGGTTTAGATTTGCTCTAATGTTTTGTGCAGGTGACTGAACTGGACAGAAACCTGACCCTGTGGCTGGTGGATTTGCTGAGACACATGACAGCGGAACGCTTGTCCTGTGAGTGTCCCCAGTGGCAGGAGTCCGGTACTGAGATGGATGGACAAGGAGCCCAGGCCTCTGAGGGCTAGTAAGCTGCAGCATGGAGATGAAGAGTTGGTTGCAGAGATGTGCAGACTTGCTGATTCTGTAGACAGGTATCAACAGAGGTTTTCAGTTTCACCTAAGAGAGTTTTCTTAAGAAAAAATATTCAGTGTTTTGATCATGGTGACAGATCCCATCCATTTGCTTGTCCTTGGATCTTTTCCCAGGTCATAAATGGGCCTCACTAGAATTTGTAGGGAGTCTAAGAAGATAGAGACACCTAAAGAGAACAGCAGTGCCTGCTTTATACCTAGTACTGCTATAAAATATGCTAGCATCTGCGATAGTGAGGGCTCTGCCCATCCTTCTGAGAATGACCTTTGGAGGAACGAGGCCACTACAGGCAGTGAGTCTACAGATCACTTGGAGCAATGCCTCCACCTGATTCAGGATCTGTGCTCACACATCCTGTGTGGGTTAATAAGCACTGGCATGGAGAAGCTTTCTGGGAGGTCACTGTGTGAGAGGAGCAGGTGAGGACTGCTCTTCTGCAGACTTCTCTAGTAGTGCAGTTCTACAGATAGTTCCTGTACCTTGCTGACAGCAATGGGCTCATGACTGAATCATCTTTTCCACCTAAATGATTCTATGATTATAAGCATTTGAAGGTACTTCTGCAGGCCTGGAAATGTTCTACATCTTTGCAGCTGCTGTCGCGAGACAGTCAATTAAATTGTTCAAAAGAAACGGTCAGAGAAAGATTTAGAAGCTGATTTTGAGCTGGAGGAGCTGAATAAGATCAAGGTAAAAGGTGCCTGTGTTGCCAGCTATCTAGGTCTGGAAACCTAGATAGTTTTCCAGATTAGATTGTATTTGCTTTGTAAAAGCTAGATAAAAATATATGTGAGGTTTCAAGGAGGAGGAAGACTGCTGTTTCAATGGATTACCCTGGTTCCCCAAGTTACCTACTGATTTTGCAGTCCTGGACTGCAGATAAAACCGGGTCAGGTCATGTTCACTTTCAATATTTTCCTTGCCCTGTTTCAGGGTGCATATGTAAGGCCTCTCCTGTGAGATTTATTCTGTATGAGTGGTAGTAGATTCACCTCTGGTCCAAAGCTTGTCAGAGCCATGCACATCCAGACTTGAGTGGTGCTTAGAGGTTCTTGGAGGTGCTTGGTGCCTTTATAGAGATGCAGTTGAAAGTTTTTGCAGTCAACTGACATACCTGACTCCCCCTTATTCTACATTGGCATGTAAAGCTCTTAATTGCTACCATTATCATCACCAGTGTTTAGCTTAGCTTTGCCTGTGCTTTAGGAATGTGAGAGTAGACCCTTCCTGAAGGCTGAGACTACCCTGAACAGAGGGCTTCAAGAAATGCAAGAAGCCTCCCTGCAGGGGTTGAAAATACTTGTGTTTCTGTTCCGCATTACTTTAATGAGTGAAAAATTAACCCCTGGGATTTACACTCATTTCTCTCCACATAGGCTGAGGCAGTGTCTATGACATATGTTCTGTGCTGGCCTGAGGAGGAGCTTGTTGAAGGAATGAGTTGGTGGAAGTGATTAGCTGGTGACATATGCCGTGTCTGAAAGCTTGGAGAAATGTGTCTTCCTTGTAGGGTGAGAATGAAAGGTTCCAGGTAGTCCCCTTCCTATAAATAAAGACAGAAAGCTGGAGTTACTTAACTGACTGAATGAATATGATAAGTCGGTTTTTTTCCTGCTCAATAAGCCCTGAATAATCATTTTCTGTTGTCTCCCCAGACTGAGTACTGTAATTGGATTCAAGTGTGTAGTCATCTTCTTTCAGAGATCAAAGGCACTCCAGTCTCCTGTCTGGATTTAGAAGAACTGAGAAATCTCTTTGGATCAGAGGCATATATAGACTGCATTTGCTGTTCTAGGTTGAACCAATTTGAATGAAGGTCTGCTTCAAAACTTTTCCTTAAGAAAGCAGCTACAGTTCCATTTGCAGGAAGGTTTCACTGAAGACCTGCATGCACTCTAAGTGGCAGCTAGAACTATGAGGTGTTATGACTGCAAATTGGTTAAAAATCACAGTGCTGCTTGTGAGCACAGGTCTAAGGCAAAACCAGAGCTTCAGTGGAGTCGGAGAATTTACCCCATGGGTAGACCAGCTCCCCGTGGGGTGTGATAGTTTTTCCTTCACCTATTGGGGTGGACTTTGGCTGGAATTCTTGTGGTTGCCTTACCCAGGAGATTAAGCTGAACTTGTAGTTTAATTCCTTGTGTAGCTAGATGGATGCCTGAGACTGCCTATAACAATTATATGTATTTTATAGCTGGTTGGCCTGGCATTGGTCTACTTTCATGCAAAACAGGTTAGATTTGGATAATGAGAAAATTGATTTAGGTTTATTGTCTTGAATGATCTGTTAGCTTCAATTCTGAACTTCACCCCCAAGCAGAATGACATTGTTCCTGACTTCCAGTCTACAGCCAGTGCTGTAGCTCTCATGCTGCCTCTTTTTCTCCTTGCCATGGCCTCCACAAAGCAGATATGCCACAGTGAGTCCTGCCTGTGTAATTGTCGTGGTCTAAGCATTCAGTAACTAGCATACTCATTGTGATCTGAAACATATTCATGCTAAGGACCTCCTCAGTGGTTGAAGTCCCAGTCTAAATATGCGCACAGAGACCAGCTACCTTTGCCTAGGTTAGGCCAAAGAGAGCAGGCTATTAACCTGATCCTTATGGTGCCTTACAGGAATTGCAATTGAAACTTAAGCTTAAGGACACCGTCATTTCTTCAACTCAGGAAGAGTCTGAATCTGAAAATGCCATCAGCAAAACGAAACCCATAACAGAGGACAAACCATTAAAAGTAAAGGAGGAAATAGCCATCATGCAGGTGACTGTAGTAGCAGCAATATGCTGCTTTCCAGCAGGGCCTTTTTATTTATTGCTCAGAGTATGTGATGTGAAACATGGCCTTACAGTGGCCTTGAATGCCAAGAGGCTAGTGGTATCTCCTATTTCTTGTTCCTTTTCTCTCTTGAGCAGCATCCATGTGCTGGTATGGATTTTCTGATTGAGGACAATGAAGCTACTGCAGACGTGATCAGATATTTAGGGCATGACTCCAGCGTCCACCTGAAGTCTCTGAAATCAGGCATCATTACAGTTACAGGGGTAGGAGTCTCCACCACACCAGTGTTTTTTAGCCTTCTGCAGAGATTTGGAGCTGGGTTCTAGGTGTATACTCAGACTCTGTTATGAGACCCCATTTAACACTTGCATCAGACTTCCTGGGGCAGTGCAAGGTGCCGGTGTTCTCTCAGATTCCTCTGCTCTAGCAACTTTAATCATTAGAACAGTTACCACAGCTGCAATTTGTCCTTCTCATCCATGCATTACTGCCGTGGCTTCATGATCCAGGACTATCTGCTGAGACTGGGATGGTGAAAGTGGTTTGATGCTGAGCACATGGGAGGAGTTGAAGGGGGTTCAGAGATTCAGGGAGATCCCACAACAACTGGGAATTAAGGAGTTCCAGTTGGTTTTGGCCTCCGTTTGCCTTTGAGATAGTGCTCTTCGGTAAAGTTGCTCTTCATAAGTCATAGGGCCTGTTATTCCTTAGTTAGTCAGTCATCCAGAGTAGAGCCTAGAGGTACTGGAAGTGTGGATCTCTAGCAAACTGTCACTGGATGGTGCCACTCTTTAAGCATGCTGCATTGCTAAATGTGCCTTGCCCTTCAGGCTTTAGAAGTGATCAGCTAGTTAAGAGTGACAGTGCAGGAGTCTGTCTTTATGGACTCTGATTTGTTTTATAGAAATGAACCCCTGGAAATCATAATTACCTTCCAAAGCTTAGAGTGAGAGCCTTTCCACAGTCAGTTTTACAGAAAAACCCAAGTTGTCTTTTCCAGATGAAAGCTGACTTATGCCTGTTGGACAATGTGAAGAGCTGCCTCTTTCTGTTCTTCAAACATTGTTTTGTTGGGATTTTTGCTCCTAGCCAGGCTACAGCCACCTTCAACCTCAGTAACTCAAGGAATGCACCAGCAACCCAAGACTATGAGCCAGTGAGAATTTCATGTCTGAGTCAGAAAATCATTTTAGTCTATTTTTAATGCCAAGATCAGTTCAGTCCCTAAACTAGTCTCTGGTTTTACATGTTTTGCTGATATAGAGCTCTTGTCTGTGTTGTGACTGTGCACTGACACACCAGCACCAAACCAGGCACATGCTACAGGTAGAATGCAGCATTGTTGTTTCCGCATTCACTTAACAAAAGGTTTTCCCAATCAGAGAGAGATGACTGCCTCCATGCCATCAAGTCCCTTTTCTCAGAAAGAGTTTGAAGCCCTAGCAATGATGGAATATCTGCAAGCGCAACTCCTGTGAGTACTCTGCTGGAGGCATGAGTGGGGCAGGGTTTCATGCCAGGCAAGTGCCTATTTTGCTCTCTGATAATGTTCTGCTTTATCCAATATCTGTTGGCTTAATTTTGGGTTTCCTTCCATTTTGATTGTCTTGGGTGATTGAGTATGTTTTATGTTAGCTGAAGATATGACCCATATTGGCTCCCCTTCATTTCTGTGGAGATTTTCTGTTTTGTGTACTCATGAGGTACATTGCAAAGGTACTCAGGATGGTTTTCTGTGAAACTTCTTAACACTTCTGGTCCTGTTAGCACTTGCAGGGTGTCGTGTGAATGCAGCTGAGCTCTTCCAGGGCCTGCTTAGTGCCCAGGAGCTTGGCAAGTACAGACATGCAATTTTGTACCTAAGTATGGGGAACACAATAAAGTGACACCCCAGTGTCTTCATGCAGAATCACATCAAGGTTTGTGTTTGGTAAGGACTTCTTCCATGTTTAAGCAGGCTTGGGCACTTTGAACTTGTCGTGGTTTAAAACCAGTCAGGCAGCTCGTTCACTCACTCCCCCCCTTCTTTCCCTCCCCCTACTCCCGGAAAGAATCAAAAAGAATGCAACTCCCACGGGTTGAGATAAGAACAGTTTAGTAACTAAGGTATAACACAAATCACTACTGCTACCACCAATAATAACAATGATAAAGGAAATAACAAGGGAAGAGAATACAACACCTCACCACCAGCTGACCGATAACTTGCCCCCCCCCAGCCCAACCAAGCACCAACCGAAACCTCCTCCAACCCCACTCCTGGCCCTTCCGGGTAACTCTCAGTTACATCCTGGGCATGACGTGCTGTGGTATGGAATACCTCTTTGGTCAGTTTGGGTCAGGTTTCCTGTCTCTGCTTCCTCCCGGCTTCTCCTCCTCCCTGGCAGAGCATGAGGCTCAGAAAGTCCTTGGTCAGACTAAAACATCAGTGTTAGCAGCTCTGTTCCCAGACAGAAAGTCAAAACACAGCGCTGCACCAGCTACTAAGAAGGAGAAAAATGACTGCTACTGCTGAATGCAGGACAGAACTACATTCCCTCATATTTCTTGTTTTGTCTGTGAGCTTGATTTACCTGGGATAACTCCATCTCATCAGCTTTGCTAATAGAATTGACTGTGCTCTGTATTTATCCTTGCACAGTGAAGATCAGCATCTCACTCTTTGCTAGCAAACACTGAGTTTTGAAACTAATTCAGCTTGCAGGGTTTAAACAGATGTGCCATGAACTCCTTTAGTGATCTGTTAACAATGCCCTTCTCTGAAACCATATATGTGTTTTATACAGTCCCACCGAAAGTTTCAGCTTTCTAAATCTTTCTTTTAGGTATGCTACCAGCAGCTGCTTATATTTCAGATTTCAGCGTTACCTTTGCTTCTGTGTTTCAGAGAAAGAGAGATCCGTGCTCAAAATGCAGAGGAGAGATCTGAAGGTCTTGAAGAAAAGCTGGAAGCAGCTCTGCAGAGAATCTAAGACCTAGAGGGTGAGTTGGAGAAAGAGGGGAAAGTCATCCCAGAAGTAACACACAAAGAAGGGCAAGATCAGGAGAACCAGTATTTCAAACCCTCTTCCAGACTCAGAGAGAGAAGCAGTCTTTGAGGACACCTTATTCATCTCCTGTTTAGTGCAGGACCGTCTTCTCCTGGGCACATCCTAGGGCTTTGTCAAGACTCTTTATCAGAAACCAAGCAAGGAGACTTTTAACATGATTGTAGATCATGGCAAAAAGAACTGCTGAATGTGGTCTGGTTTAGAGAGAAAGTAACTTTGCTTGACATAGGACACCAGTGTCGGTATCTAGGAGATCACTATAATTGACTTCATCTTCCTGTGAGTGTTCCCTGTTACAGTCAAGAAGGTCTGTTTAGGATCACTGATTTTAGGGTCGAAAAGAAATAATATTCCAGGTCCCTTCACTCTCAGAAGCCACAGACCTTTTCTTCTATCACAGGACAATCTTGCTGTCTCCAAGAGCTGTTTGAACACAGCTGACATACTTTTGGCAGTGAGTTCCTTAGGTTGCATGTTTGTTGTGGGTGAAAACATTTCCTTGTGCCCTTTCTCAGCTAGATCCACATGGATATAAGATGTGGAGAAGGAGGAAAAATTGGGAATTAAAATATCTTCCGGTAGTCCTTCAGTGTATCCTATTGACTGACATCAAAGTGGAAGGAGAGGCTAATTGGTTGTTAAGGAGGCGATCCCTTGGGCACATTTTAACTCCATGGTATTTTTAATAACTTTGGTTTGTTGGTTTGTTTTTCTTTCAGAAGAATGTCTCCAAGAAGGCATCTCGGAAGTCAAGGCCTGCTCAAGTCTCAAAGCTTCTACCTCTGGCCAGTTCAAGGGCTCCGGAAAAGAACAACATTAAAGAATAGCAATGCCCCAGTAGTTTCATAGTACCTGTTCATAGCAGTGGTTCACCCCCAATCCACTGCTGTTACTCCTTACCTAGTATCCCAGTACCTCAGTCCCATCTCAGCATTTACGCTGTTCTTTTAGCTGGCTCTGCCACTTCCACATATGCTTTGTTTGTCCTCTACCTTGTCCCAAAGCTTTAATATCTTTATAGCTCATCTTCCTTGTAATACCATTGCTACCTTGACTTTCTCTTACCCACATCTCTCCTTATGCACCCTCCTCCCCTCCCCTTGCTTTATGCTTGCCTTCTGTTTGCGTTCATCAGTCTCTTGTTGCTGTATCTCATTCTGCCTCATCCCTGTTGGATTATGCAAGTAAGTCATTTGCACCTCTTTCATATCAAGGTTTACCTTTTTCTTAGTGTGGAGGTATCAGATACCCATCTGATAATGGGTACTTCCTTCATCCTGTAGGTTTCAGATGATTCAGTTACCAGCTGACTGGTTTTTGCACAGAATTGTACAAAAAATTGTACAGACACAAATTTTTGTGTCTTTGAATCTTCATCTTGACATTTTTGTCCTTTTTTTCAGAAAGCATGAAAAAGCCTGAAGCTGTGCATGATCCTGAAGGCCTTTCTCAAATTGCTGCCACAGGAGAACTGCCTGTAGCCAAAGTCACAAAATCAGACTTCAGATGATGCCAGTTCACCCACTCAGTGCACTGAGATGGCATTTAAATGCTCCATCTCTCTGTGATTTCTGCTTGACATCTGAGGCCCCTGTCTACAGCCTTAACAGGTGAAACTGCCTAGTGAGGTGGCCACCCAGACTTCTGCCTCTGGTCCCCAACCTGGGATAGTCTGTACAGTTCTAAGGCTCTGCAAGGCCAACAGAGCTGCCTTGGTTCGGCATGAAATTTGACCCAGTCTCAGCTTGGAAGAGCAGGTAGTGAAACTGCCTGGAATCACATTGACTCAGACAACCCCTGCCAACTCAGAGTAAATTTCATTTTAGAAACATCATATATCACTAATCCCAAAGTACATTTTTAAATGATGTTTTTCTTCTGCGAGTTTTTGGAATGTAATATCTCCTGAAGGTAAAATGAGAAGTTTCTGCCAGCTCTATATGTAAGAGACAAGATACTGCTGGAACAAGACATGCTCTTTGGAACTGAGGATGCTCTTGGCTATAATTTATCTTGTCTTTAGCTACAGAAAAGTTACACGTTTGAAAAAGCTATGCCTGACTTCTGCAGATATGCATGCAAAATGTGTGTGCCCTGACGTAGTGCTGCGTGTCTCCTGACAGTCATTTCTCAGGCTAAGTATTGTTCCTTTGAGATATTATCTGTAGAGGTGTTGGTCCTTGATGTGCCAGAGAATCTTGGCCTGGATGGATCATTTTACACAGAGTTGGAAATGCAGCCAGACAAGCTCATGAGATTACCAAGAAGTTCACAGGTGGATTTTTCCCACTTCCCAGCCACCCATAAGGGGACTGGTTCCTGAGTGTCCTTGCTGTTACAAAGGCCAGCAAATACTTGTAGAGTGAGTATTATGGGAGCACAGAGTGTTGAGAAGGGGTGTCTAGGTAGCTGAAGGGGCAGTTTAAATGCAGAATATGTATTTAACTTCATAGAAGTGGGATCCTTGTCCTCCACAGCAGTATTAAGCCAGTCCTCATGACATAGCTGCATTTAACACAAGTATTACCGCTTATATATGCCAATGTGTGTGAGTGTTACCAAGAGACAGAGGGACTGAAAAAATGGGTAAAAATACAAGAGTGAGTGACTGGCTGGGTAACTCCTGCTAGGCATGTGCATGATGGCCAACAACTGTGTGGGCAATTAAGAAAAGGGCCATGAAGTCCCCTGTCTTGGCCTCTACAGGCCACCAGCAGCAGAACATTGGTCCTGGGAATGGCTGTGCAGGGGAGGCAAAGAGAGATGCTGCAGGTCAAGTAAAAGGGCAGGAGGAGAACTGACATCCACCCAAAGAGTGCCAGGATGAGAGAAACAAAGTGCAGTGGTATTTGACAGTGCTCCATATCTTTGGCAAGGGATCTGTAGGTTCCTGGTCATTCCAAATAGTTTTTGTCAGGAAAGATGTATAGGAGTTTTGAGGCTTATAGGACATTGAGGACTTTCTCTGTTCCTTCCCTGTGTGTGTAGGTTACCAAGGCAGCTGCACCATGCGAAAGTATTGCTGTTCTCTAGGTTCTCAGCTGGTTCTTCCTCAGTGGTGCTGGATTCTCCTTTGTCAGCTCAGTCGGAGTTGATTAAATGGATCACTTATAAAAGTTTTAGATGCCCACAAGCTCAGAACTTGTCCTTTCGCACCCACCAGTGGAAGCGAGCGGCAGTACAGCCTGCCTTTTCTCTGCATCCCTGATGTGCCTTGCAGGGAAGTGCAAATAAAGGCAGCCTTTTCCTTCTATTTTAAAACTATGGCTAAACACCTTGGTTGGCTGTGGGTGTACGTATGTATGTATGTATGTCCACATGGGTGGTGACTGAAATCCCGTATCCAGGACTACACCATGGGACCCAGCTCATTCCTTCGTTCCTGAACCACGAGGCTGGCAGCACCCAACAACCTGCAGGTGTGCTGCAGTCCCTGCCTGTTCCCCCACCAATTGCTGGGCTCCCACCTCTGGGTGTTCAGTTTGGGGCACTAAGTACACAGGGCCAAGTCTGTCTTTCTTGCCAAGGTGTCCATGTCTTGCAAGATGGATCAGACCCTAGGGGCCAGGCCCTAAGGTGTCAAGGTGCATCTGGCCCTGTGAAGAGAAAGGGACGACACCCCTCTTCCCTCCACCCCCTGCTCACACACATGCCACCCCTGCTCCTTGTGCTCTCTATTTTTCCCTTCCCAAAACAAGCAGAGGCTTCTCCCATGTACAATCCACTTTGTATTACAGCCTGGGCTGCCCTCCCTCCTGCCTCCAGACCTGCCAATAGGCCAGCCTTCAGCTCCTCTCTGGGCAGGACTGACTGGGGGCAGTGTAGCAACCATGGGACATGGAACAGCTCTTAGAGCATGGGTGAGTCCTTGTCTTTTGGGCTTTCTGGGAGCTTTGTGGTGCCTGTAAGGAGGCTGCTCGCTGTCAGAGGACTCTGGGTAGCTGGAGAGACCACATTCATGGCCTCCAAAGGCAAGGGCAAGATGAAAGCAGTAGGTTTCTCTGCAGTAAGGGAGTGCAGTGCATGGAGGTAACGGAGCTGAGCAGCAGCAGGGGCACTTGACAGAATCTCAGCTGCCATCCGCAGTGACTCCGAAGCAGCCTTTTCCCCCTCAGCAGCGATCACCTACCAAGCAGGGGAATAAAGATTTCTGTGAGGCTGGGAGTAAGGGAACATGGACTGCTCATTACAGAGGGAGTTTGCCACCATGAAATTCCCAGGGCCAAAGTGATTGTAACATTCCTGTTCTCTGGGGATCACAGTATGTATTAGACCTCTTGATGCTCCCAAAAGTTCGGGAGCTCATGTCTAACTTGTTTTTACTAGGCCTGCCAGGGCCCACAACTAAGCATACTCTTGCTGTAACAGCATGGGAGAGGGCAGCCCTCAGGCTAGGCTTGTGGGAGGGGTGCTGGACACCAACCTTATTCAGGCTCTCGTGTAGCGCAGAGCAAGAGATGGAGACCAGCACTCACTGAGCAAGGTGCAGGGTATGTTACAGGGGTGACAGCCCTGCACTGGGCTCATAGAGGAGAATGAAACCCTGAGGAGAAGATCCCCATGGGGATCACCATGGGCCCAGTGATAACCCCAGACCTCCTTTGCGTGTCTTTCTGTCCTACCTGTAAGCCAGGTACCAGATCTGGCACTCCACTGGACTGGCCCACACTCTTGCTGCATCTCCCCTTGCTAGACACAGCTCTTGAACAGGAATTAAAGAAAACATATCTTTCCAGAGCTGTATCCTTGTGTGGCATTTCCCAGGGATCATAAACAAGGAATGCTTTGGAAAGAGATGGGAAGCATTCAGAGTTGGCATACCCGCACTTTGGCCTGTCTTTGGGCCTCCGCTTCCACAGCTAGGGACTGGCGAATTTCAGCAGGCAGTTGCACGTTGTTGCTGTGGTAGTGAAGGACAGGGATTAGCTGGGCTCTAGACTTTCCTGCCAGCACTAGATGATCAGTCTGAGGCTTGGAATGGGCTCATGAGTCAGTCTCTGCAGAGCAGTTCACTCATGTTCTTTGCTCCCAGTGTCCTTTGTGTGTCTCACTTCAGCCTTCTACCTCCATACCTATCTTTCTTTTCCTACCTAGTTTTCTAACGGTTAGACTTGCATTATCACTTGGCAGCAGAGACCTCTCCTCTCTGTGCCTCTGCTGCCTGAAGTCTAAGCTCACTCCTTGTGAGACTGCAGAGAATCCACTGGGAGACAAGCACAGGATTTTCCTTCTGTTCATACACAATTTACTCATTCACCATTGTCTCTCTCTTCCATGGCCCTCTACAGGAGGAGTGAGTCTCACCTTTCTGCATGGGATTCTTGAATGATGAGCCCATCCCTACAAGTGCTAATTCCCTGCGGCCTTTGATCTAGAATAGGACACAGAGGGTTTAGTGCTTGCTGCAGAATTAGGTGCAAACTCTGCCTGTAGCAGCAGTGAAATGGTGATGAGATCCCAGCTAAGGATCCTGCCCTGGCTGTTAGTGCTGGAGCAAGCAGTCTTCACATGTATAAGTTTTACATGAGGCAGAGGCTGAAAAGTACAGGGAAAATAGGAAGGTGGGAGGTGGGGCTCTATCTTCTCCAGAATAGCTACAGGGAGAGAGACAGAGACAAAGGAGGAAGAGGCATGCAGCAGTGAACACAGCAGGAGAGGTACTTGCAAAGAGCCAGGGAAGTCCCCTCTGCCAGCATTTTCTACTTACATTTCTGTTCTCTCCACTTTGATCCCCCAGCAGCCTGTGACTGCATCCAAAGCCACCTGTGAAGAGGAATATTTTTAGAGCATGAGGGAAACACCAGCCCTGGCCTAGGCCTTTTACAGGGAAGTAAGAC